ACGCCTCCGGTGGGGTACAGGATTCTCGATTCCCCACCCCTCCTCCGGTGACCACTACCCTCAGGCCATAAATCAGGGGATTAACCCAACAAAGATATGGTCCGTTGTCCGTCTCACCGCTTTTCTTACGCCTACTGAAAGAAGGTTCTCCATCTACCTAAGGTTTTAAAGGACCTTAAAGTCCCAAAAAGGATGCTACCTGAACTGATTGGGAACCATACCTTGGAACTCTTTCAGCGGGCTTTACTTAAAGAAGGAGATATTTGTAATATTCCAAACAACATCTGGGCTCTGTTACCAAAGGTACCTTAACGAATTAGGTTTTAACACTCTATATTCTATGGCATGAGCTTGGATGCTTTTGAGCATCCTCAGTGGATTTGGCTCCATCTGAAAGTTCACAAATGACGATTTACGCTTACGGATGAAGTGAAGACTTCTATTTCCATGGTATTCAATGTGTTTTTTTTACGTTGATTTAAACTTACAGACAGTATCTGTTTGTCGTTTAAGTTGCATTCTCTAGACAAAAGAGACATTGTCAGCAACAAATGTTTCTCTTGTCTCACAACAAAGTTCTTCCTATCACACTATCCCAAACAAACTCCCGAAAACTATCAGCAACTGCCAGACGAATCCAAACGAAACAAAACCAACTTGACTCCGAGACACAAAACAAATGGAAAAGTCTTTCTAATGCATATTGCTGTAAATCCGGCCATTTTAAAAGCCATTAGTTCAACCGGACCATCCGCTAATGGGGTGCGGTGAGAAATATCGCCGGTCTGGTATAAGTAATGGAAGCTCCCTGCAAACCTGCAGACTGATGCGTGGGTCGGCGGGGCCCACCTACAGTAGCCCAACCGTAGGACTGGGACGCTATCATTTTTGGCTAAACTGCCTTTATTATTGGCCGGCCGATCGAATTATCTCGACAGATAATCACGCAATTACAGAACTCGGACTCGACGGAATGTGACCCTGAGCAGGTAACGTGTTAATTACCTCCGCTGTGAAACCTGTATGATACAGCTGTACTTATTATGATACTGTCATGTAAAAGGAATCGGTAAATTATCAAAAACATTTCGGAGTTCTCATTTCACAGTAACTACTGGGGATGCGATGGAATTAGGGACAAATGCTGTTTTCTGTAGATTAATGTAAATTTTGAATGCCTTAAGATAACCATGTTGGCATTGGCACAAGTGGTTTTATTAAGTGTAGTTAAATGTGAGGGTACCATATTCGTATTGAGCTTTAGTGTTGTACTGGAGCCGTTTTCCCTGTTTGAGGCATTTAAAAACAGTTCAAATATTTAGGAATAACTGTAGTAGAAGTTCCCATAGTACAGAGCTATTTATGTGGTGCATATTTTCGAAAAAAATTTCGAATCAGAAATGTTAATGTTGTAAAAAGTCAAACCTTGTGGAAATCCTGTTATAATTTTTATGTTAACCTAATCAACACATATTGCATGTCTTTTTCCTGGATCTGAGTAAATTATTTCTAGAAAGATAGCCTAAAAAATCTTTTTTTACGTGGACCTGATTTAATTAAGCTAACTTATTTGTGATAAAAACGTTGGAAGCCGTTGTTATTTTAATGCTCTATATGACCAATAATTAACAGTTACCTACAACACTAAGCAACTATAGGCTATGTTGCAATTCAAATGCTTTGCTCACGAAATAAGTTAAACTCCGTTACCCCCGTACCATAAAAAATTATGTATATTCTATGGTAGTTTTTCAACTGTCTTATTTACAAATGGAGAAAATCCAGTTTAGTAAACTTAGGCCTATTTGTAATATTTTCTTCTTGTAATCTTTTGTTTTAGAGAAAATATTGTGTTAGTATCCTTTTCCTTTTGGTAGGATAACAAAAACGTTGTTGGATATTTCTATCAACTCTCCTTGTGATTGCATCATTTACTTTTCCAAACGTCACAACAGTTTAACGTAACGTCTGATCTTAAGAGTACTAGTGCACCTGCTATCATAGCTTTCGATGACTGCTCGAAATCGAGCAATAATATTCTTGTAAATTTTGTATACATTATCAGAAACCAAGCTGGCCTTTGTTTAGGCTATTAGCCTTTTCTACATTCTAAAACGTTACCGGTACCACACTCACACATTTTTAACTGTTACCAGTAAAAATTTCTTGCACGTTTTTTAATTTGATCGACATAAGGCAAGTTTACTTTATCATCCTGATAACATGAGGAATATATACTTACTTCGTGTATTTTTTCACTCCCAAAGTACGCATAGAAGAACTGGCAAATCCTATAGGCCTATTTTTACTGTTATGAGCAATGTTTGCTTGTATGCTTGCTCAAAGATCTCGAAAACAGCTTCGAAGATTTCCTTCAAATGTTGTAAATAATTTCTGGCCTAAAAACGTGTTCAATCACGGCCCCACTAGAAAAACTTGGTTCAATGCAGTTAAAACTGCCAACAAAAATCGAATTACGTAAAAAAATGAAATTGAAAGTCAAAACTTTTAACATTGGCCCTCTGGGTTCCTAAGTAACCATGTGGTTGAAAAAAATAACAAGGAAAATGTAAACAAAAGACTTGTAAGTTGTAGCATGTGTTTATAATAAGCCATCCACCCACGCACAGTAGTCAAAGATACCAGCAAATAACAAAATACAGTACGGAAGGAAAAATATCGATTGTCACTATTGAGCAAAGATTATACTGAAGATAACTCGATATAGGTAAAAATAGTTCCCAGTTCCGATCAACTCCTACCAAAACTGAACTCGAGGCATTTTCCGTCAACAAAACTGATTAACTGTTTACTTTGGTCTATTATACCTCCTTAAAAATATTACCAACATCAATATTTACTCGCCAAAAAGCTGATGAGTTTCTTTTTATAAATAACTCTTTTTGTTTTTGTTCAATGTAATTCTTATGGGGAAAAATAAACCTTTGAGAGCACCTCGTCCTTAAGGGTAGAAATTTGTAAAATTCTAAACCCTTATTGCAAAACTACAAATTGAGACGAATTTGTTGGCTCTTCAAAAATGGTTCAAACGAAATTTGTCCACAATAATAAGGGAGGAGTAGTGTTCAGAAAAAAACAGCTTCACGTATTATAGAAAATAAAATAATTTTAGATTTACAGCCAGTGTTGCCAATTTATTTTCACGCGTAGGTCTACATGACCCACTACATGACCTCATCTGACTGTAACGTTCTTCTGAATGGTTTGTACTGTACAATGGAACCTCAATAACACGACCCTCGATAGCATAGTGGCCCTTAATAACCAGTGTCAATTATCCTTGATTTTATATTAACCTTAGTTACCTTTTATTTCAAGACTTTATCAGGAGTAAACATTTAATAACAAGTCATTGAACTTTGGCAGATTATGCCCTTGGTCAAGGTCTTATCATGAGACATATGTGGAGAATTTTCCAATATGAGAAGTTAAAAGTTCGCTAAAAGAGTGAATGGAAAACAATCTCTAGGAAAGAAGAATTTTGAATTGATGAAAGAAACCGGTATCATAACTTCCAGGCCACACAACAAACAAATTGAATGTTTTTTAATACAGTAGAACCTCGATAACAAGACTCTCATGGGGATTATTAAATTAGACTTGCTATCAAGGTTGACTTCTTATTGAGGTTTGTAATAACATGTGATTAGGGGTAAAATAAATTCAAAGGGATTTGAAAATTGCACTTGTTATCAAGGGTGACTTGTTATCGAGGGTCTTATCAAGGTTCTACCGTACCACAGAAAACATACTAAATATGTTTTCTGTGACCGTACTTATAAATACTGAGAAAACTTTTACATATCTGTGCTCCAATTGTTTTGTGTATAATACAATAATTACAATATTTAGTGAATAAATAGAGAAAATCTTAAATGCTCATGGGCTTAGAGAAATTTTAGCTGGGTACAGGATATACAAAGTGCCATTTCTTTCTGAAACCGTTCAAAGTTAAAAGCTAAAAAATAACAGTAAATGGTGTAGGAAAATATATTTACACAACTAAGGTTGACACATAGGTATCTATTTATTAGGCATATTTCAAGTTATTAGAAGTTATATAATTTTCTCAGATTTAATAGGCTTAAAAAATATATAATTTTTAGAAGTATAGTTTAAAGGTTAAAACTTGTGACAAACAAAATTTGAGCTAATTACCATGAGTTGTCTAAGGTGATGGTTAAAGATTAATACATTTTTATACAAACCATTTATGCCTTACCGTTTGAAGATCAAATTCTGCCAAGAAAGAAGAAACAAATGTATTAAGCAACACATTTCTTGATTATCCATGGTAGAAGAAGACCACTGCAGTTTTTACCAACGTTCTAACAATTACTTTTAATAGCCTATAAGCTAAGAAAAAAGTCTACACACTTTCCTTAGTTCATTGTTTGTTGGAATAACAGTACTGTATCCAAACTCCTACTAGTTTTCAGTACTAGTTTGGTAGGAATGAGCAGTATTTAGTTGCAAAACTGTCTATAGGTCTGGTTGGATTGATATTTCTCCACTGTTTAGACAAACACATTAAAAATCCTATTATCACTTCTCTCTTTAAGTAGAAAGTATTTAACAGATAATTTACCAGCAGAGGATAATCGTAGCAGATTTACACATAATTTGATTGGAACCTTCAAGCTCTTTGCAGGTATAATTTCTTTGAAACATTGAAGGTTTGTAAGTTTCATCAATAGGTAACAATCTTGTTACAGTACCAATTTTAAATGTTTACAAATGTTTAGCTTTAATCACTGAATGAAACTAGATTTTTAACTAAGAAATCAGATAGGCCTACTATAATATGTTTAAAAAAATTTTAAAACATTTGTAGCCTACATAAAAATTAAGCCTTTAAGATAAGCTTTCCTGTAAATACCTCATAAGTCCAAACTCAGATTTTCACTAAGCATTAAGCCTAATTGGAATGATTTAAAATCTTCTATAGACCTAACGGGATAAAATAAAACATCAGAAACTTGTAAAGCACTGTAAAATTTATTATATAATATAAAATAATTTACAAAACAGTTTTTGTATGAACTCATCTTGATATATTACAAAAGATGCTGTAAAGCGACAAAAGTCACGGAATGTTATGTAAGATTTGCACGATGATGAGCGAAACTGTGGTCCCATGGGGAATGTTCGACAAAAATCTAGACTATGTTTATATATTAGTTGCAATTGTTTGATAAACTTTACAAAACACACTGACCTTTAAAGTTGTGCGAAACATTGACATATCTTAACTTAACAAAACAGTGCTATCAGTAAATGCAAGTAGTTCCTCAAATCAACTGAGGCATAACTTAAGTTTGACAGTCATAATCAAATTCACAATAAAAACATCTTCAAACAATTCCACCAACAGTAAAAAACAAATACATATTTGAAAAGCATAGACTGACAAAAGAGCTTTACAGTTACAAGATATGGGCCAGTGTGTTATGCAAAGCTGACATGAACATGATCTGGCAACATACTTGCTGATAAGGCACTAACGGGTACTACATTATATATACAATGAAAAATACAGAATGTTGTAAAGGATATGAATACTTTACATACAATAGATAAGAGTAATAATCACATATGAATTTTGGAACTGCATTGTGGCCCAAATAGAAAAATATATATACAAAACGTTTATGCAGCCTTTACTCTCTTATCCATGATTAGTTGGCAATGATCAATCTGAACTGACAAAACTGTCTTTATACAATACCAAAAGTTAGTTATCATCAAGTGTCTTTGTAAGTTCAACTACAAAACGACTCAAAAATTCAACAAATAATAGCATACTTAATTAGGTTGCTTGTGAGCAGTCTTGCGAGTAATGTCATGGAATGATAGAGGATTACATATTGAAAACTCACAAATTAAACACAGTACTTCGGAATAAATAATTAAGAATATCGTGTAAAATAAAAAAAATAAATAAAAAAAAATTGGTTGACTCTTATGCAAATTTGTTGCTGCCCGGACATACAAAAATGACTGACACGGGAAGACTTAAGATAAAAACAGTTTGAACACATAAAGTTGTTCTTTTTGCTGGAATAGTTAAGTAATGAAGGACTGAAGCATAATATACAAATTAATTCTAATATATTAATTGCATCAATAATATTAATAATAACAAACTAAAATAATATACTATGATCACATTTTTTATAAGTCTAAGTAAAATATACAATATTCTCACACTTTCTAATACACACATAACCAGGGACACTTAACGCCAATGGTAAAACCCGAAAATGGTTTTCTAATATTGGTAAATTAGTTGAGCTGAACGCCAGAAGCCATAACCATACAAGAATCAATCTTAAACTTCTAGAAAATATTGCATGATAATATTGCTTCTAAAATGTGAACGTGTCTATTTAACTTCATCAAAAATAAGAAAACGGCTAAATAATATATACTTCACAAATTGTGAAAGACACCTTTCAGTCTGATACAATTATCTTTTCATAACCTAAACAAGTTTAGAACAGTTCCATGCAATGCCAAAACAATTAGGTGGAGTAAACATGTAGCCTACAATTAAAATACATAAAAAAGCATATAATAAGTAGTTCAAGTAACAGTTATAAGAACATACAGAATGTGAAATAATTGCAATCAATAGATAGAATTCATTATTAGGCCTACCATATTTTGTCTTGTAGTCTAAACTCTTACTGTACAGTAGGTTGTAATTTATTATTAGGGCATAGCTTGGAGTTTGAATATTTGGATAGCCTATAGCCAGACATTGTCATTTTATTGCTTAATAATGACTTTCACACCACTGTGACACAAAAGACTCAAAGAAAAGGCAAAATAGGCCATGAGAGTTTCGAATTTGAATTAACAGGCTCTACACTATATGCTTTCCTGTTAGTAAGAAAAATAATTTTTATTTACACTCTTTTAATTAAATGTCAGGCTTATATTATTGTGAATTTATGTGTGGGTCACTTTTAAAGGAGTTTCAGTATGCCTATTTAGAGTTTTGCATCAATAGGTACCGTAGCCTACCAGTATTCAAGAGTTTAACCGGGCACATGCTAATTGAGAACATTTTACTGTAATAACAATTACTAGTAAGTTAGTGTGTGTGTAAACAACTATGAAAATGTTTCTGTTTTATCTTTAAGATCCTCAGAAACAAGTTACGTGGACAAAGGTGGCAGAGAATAGGCCAGGATCGGTCATGTGAGGTTAGGTCATCAAAAGTCTATCAAACCAAAATTGCCTTAGTCTAGAGATCAAAGCTTTTTTGCAACAATTTGTCCTTAAACAAGTTTTTGGTAAATTAAATAGGCTACACCTATCTAATCATTTTTTATCCAACACACTTTGGATATAGCCTAGCCCTTCTAGTGATAACTTGTTAGGCCTAAGTTAGTACCTGTCACCCTAGATGTGTATATGACCATAGACTAAGCAACACAAAGGGAGTATGATTTATCTATGATATGACTTAACCGCAAAACGGAATAAATATGCAGCCTACTGTCCAGAGAAAAATAATAATATTATCAACTGAGGAACTGAGCTGGAACACGCTTTATATATTTTAACATAAATATAAGGGAAAATTAGACCAATTTGTATGTACCAAGGCAAAAATGTGGTTCGGATTCCACTATAAGCTGTAGGTAACTCAGTTGCCATTAGCTGTATGGGCTATTAATTAACAGCTGTGTCTAAGTAATAAGTCGGCCTTAGTCAATAACAAGACTACAAGATCATTTTACACTCATCTCCATTCATACTTGGCTTAAAATACCTACTTTGTATGGTCGCCATTTCATTGAAAAGTATAAAAGTATTAAGATTATTTAGTCCTGCAATGGACTGACATGCCTTTTATAAACTTATTAGCCTACTGACTAAGACCAACTTTTTCTTTAACTGAGACCATTTACTAAAAGCCCAATTATTATCATCAATTGAGATAGGGACCCCACCTATGTGCGTATTTTAACCCAAATTAGTGAAGGACGAGTGTAGAATGAAGTGAAATGATCTTTGTAGCTTTGTTTGCTAGTGAGCCCTGTTCACTTTACAATACCATAATTTAAGTTTTTTTAAAAATACACATATAAAACCTAAATTAACGAAGAAAAAAAACATGAAAACCAATCCAACATCATTACACGGCTATGTAAAGTTTGTAGCCACCTTAACACCCAACCTCGATAACCGTGAAAATAAGACAAAAGTTGATTTATTTAATAAGTTACAGGTCTAAAGAATTCATTCCACTTTTGATAAAATGTAAACAAGTCTATCTTGGCTATTTGTTATGAGCAAATTTAAGGCTATTCAACGACACGAGTAAGTTAATATTTATAAACAAGTTATATATTGAGTGGTGTATATTATGATTAAATTCCTTAAATTAATCTATGAACTTTTATGAAATGAAGTTTAAAAAGTTTACATTTAAACTACGGTACTGAAACTAATGTACTGAGTAGTTAGTGTAAACAATGCTTGTGGTATGCCTATAAAAACAGTCAAGATTTAAAAAGACATTTTTCATTTCATTAACTTACAGTACTGTGAAGACTACAGATAAAACCCAAACTACGCCAGTAGGTTTGAGTTAACGTAACTTACTTAAGTTATAAGTAACTTGTTACGAGCAAAGTTAATCAGCAACCAAGGTTAAGTTTCAGCTAGGCTAATAAAAAAATATAGGATTAACTCACATACAGCACAGGCTAGCAAAACTCGGTTCATGACAATTTATGTAATTTTGAGGAAAATTCTAACTTACATCAGGAAAGTTATTGTGAAATAGGGTACAAGTCTTTATCGGCTAGGCTCTAATGTGCAATCTTGACAAAATATAAGTTAGCTACCTCACTGACTTTAGTAGACTATTGACTTTCCAGTGTTATTTAGGGCAATCAATAACCTGGTAGTATTTGTTAAAGGCTTGACCATAAACATGACATGAATGAACACATAGGTTGCTTACCGTTTGCCTTTCACCAATGATTACTGGTACGGTACAGCTTGGTGGCCTAGGCCTATTAGCAATAGACTAAGATTTACCATACCTAGGTCTACCGTACTTTAGAAATGATAAAGGCACATAATTGAACATTTGTAAAATCAGTTAGTTACAACTCCTAAACAGTCTCTTTACCATCTAATTTCTTTGCCAGGTCTGATACTAGTTCTTTAAAAATAAGTGGATCAATATTCTTACCGAGTTGATAAAGCACAAACCAATCACCAATCTGACATTTTCTTGAGATAGTCTCTATTTGTTCTTGAGGTGACAGACGTGATCGAGCCCTCAGTAGGTATAGACGAACTTGCGGTCCCATGACAACAGCAGCGCGATAAATCAGCGACATTCCAGTAATGATAGTAAGAAGAATAAACCAAAACCATAGGAAAACATAGATTTTCTCATTTACGATATTGAGAGGAAGGACACATAATCCATCAAACTTCTGTACAGTTCCTGAGGGACCATATTTGTGGAAGGTGCATTTTGTAACCTTTGGGAACACTCTTGACATAGGGTCTTCTCTCTCTTCTTGCTCCATTTCTGTAAATTTGACAACATCTGATCCATATGTACTAAACTCACCATCTAGAAAGAAGTCCATGAAGTAAATCTGAGCAATGACGTTAATGAAGTTTAGTACTTCACAGATGAAAAATCTGATTGCGTAGAAATTCTGAGTATGAAGATTAGTGGCAAAGTAGTCTACAAGGAGCTTCTTACGGTCAGTCTTGCATTCCTCGCTCACTACGGGGCAGTTCAAGTCCAAAACCAACATTTTGATTCTTCCACCTTCCCATGTTTTCCAAAGGTAACGTGGGACGTAGAAAAGCATAGCTTGAAAGAACAAAACAAAACAAACCCACTGATAGTATTTGTGATACTTAACTTCGTCTTCTCCCTCTACATGGCTGGCTACTCCCGGCTGAATAATGTCTTTACCGATGGTTCCTGCGAGGCGATTGGGAATGGTAAATGTAGAATAGATCCAACAATAAGTGTCCATCACATTCAGAGGTATTTCGTCTACGATACAGTCGATTGGATCACCGATGTACTGACGCGAGGTCACCAACAACGAGAAAGCAACCAGCAAAATTACGGTCGCTTTGTAGTGTAACCGGAACACATTATTATCGATACATACAGCGTCTATTTTTAATAGCCCCTTTACGGAGCCAAACACGTCGAACATGGTTGATTTTTATTCACACACAATAACCTAAAACACAACACTAAATCCACACACACGCCCTGGCTCCGCCACTGACTGAAATGGTGCTTTCCACTTCCAGTTCTCCGAGCTGCGCAAACGAGACGCGCAGTGATTTGATCGAAGAGAGGTGGGGGAATTTCCCCACTGTAGCCTCGCCAAGGGCTCCTGTTCTCTCACCCCCTCTCTTTCAATCGCCATCTCTCTCTCTCTCTCTACAGGATTGCCAACAGTTCAATGTCCTAACAACACCAACACCAGCTTTCAATAATAATTCTCTCGTTTAATCTTAATCAATGAACAAAAGTAAACAAAATTAACAACTAGCAATCGTGCATCTGAACGTCATAACTGTTGAAAAAAAGTTGTGTGTTTAATAATAACTTAAATTGGTTCCTATTTTGTTTTTTATTTAAATACTAGCTGTAACCCGCGGGCTTTGCCCCGTTTAACTTCTTAATTTTCAAGATTATCTCGTTCGCATGGCTCAATCACGTCCTGGTTGAAGTTTGTTCGCTACGCTCACTCACCTGTAGGTGGGAGCTCGTTCGCTACGCTCACTCACCTTTAGGTTGGAGCTCGTTCGCTGCGCTCACTTGCCTTCAGGTTAGCTCGTTCGCTACGCTAACTCTCCTCCAGGTTGAAGTTCGTTCGCTACGCTCACTCACCTTTTGGTTGCAAATTAGCTGTTGTCATAAATGTAAAAGAAATAATAGTGCTGCACCCTGTTGGTAATCCTTGTAACTTTAATGCTATTGAACATCACAGAACAGAAACAACTTGTTTAGTTGAAACAGCTGTTAAGATTCAATAATTCCATTTCTCATAAGGTTAACATGGGAAACTTCAGAGCCACTGGGGCGGAGCCCGAAAGGATTTTTGAAATAAGAATATGCCTATATGTTAATCGGGAATGTGAGCTATCGTCATGCCAAATTTCAGCCCAATCCGACCAGTATTTTTCGCGTTCACTTGTCACAAACATACATCCATACATCTATACATCCATACATCCAAACTTTCTCATTTATAATATTAGTAGGATTAGTAGGATGTCCTCAAGTATACGAATCTTTAATGCATTTTTGGAAGAAGAGTTTTAATAATTAACAATGCTCCCTACTCATATTGAAGTAATTAATTCGCGCATTTGACTAATGACTTTTGTGCCTAAATTATTCCCAAACTTTCAAATTGACAAAAATAACTACTTTAAATAGGCTTACCTCCTATAAAGTCATTATCCGTAGTCCAGGGGCTATCAGAATGAATAATAAAAATAACTAACTAAGTATATGTAAGTTAAACAGTCATAACATCCACTATCCACTCATTGGTATTATATCTGCATAGCAGGTCTATTTTAGCCCTGTCTGCATAGTAAAAAATGTATAGAAAACTCTTAGGCCACTGATGGACAATCTTCAAAACTTAACCACTCCAAAATCTGAAAAAGTTGATTTTAAAAAATAATTTCGCAATGTTTCCTGTAAATAATTTTAACCTACCTACTGACTCTTTCAAATCCGCTCGCACATTTCTCAATTCGTTCTCTGTCAGTTATGCATAAACGAGATAAATAGAGATTCTAATTATTGGATTTAAATCCCTGGGAATCACAGTTTGGTCCATTGACTTTTTTATCTACACAAGTGTAGATATAAAGTCAATGGTTTGGTCATACGCACTTTCCATAAAAAAGATTATGTCGACCCTGCCAGGATTCGAACCTGGAATCTTCTGATCCGTAGTCAGACGCGTTATCCGTTGCGCCACAGGGCCGCTTGAAGGAGAGGGGGGTTATTGTAACTCAAATGTTTTGATCTTAAAATCAACGTGCCCTGGCAAGGTGGCACTCGTCAATTCTTATGGAGATACTGGGGTAGCGGATTTTTATCCCACTGGAATTTTACCCCCTGGGCAAACGTGACGTCACAAACCAGGGGGTAAAATTCCGGCCGCGAACTTTTGAGTTTCGCGACATCAGCTCGATGGATTAAACGCGGGATTAAACATATATTTTCACGGTTGTGAATTTAATCAGAACACATCAAATTATAAAAACCTAGAATGTACGGCCCGGATTTTTACCCCCGGAATTTTACCCCCTGGCCAGATATATAAATTAGTGAGAATGATTAATTATATTCATTCAATTTTAATTTAATATTAAACATTTTATTATTAATTTATTTGTAACACTAACTAATCGAACAGCTTATTAATTTTAATTTTGAGATTCGAGTATCAGGATTCGATCTTTGAAGCCAACTGTCGGTTAATATGATCAAAATAAAACAGCGAATTCTGATTACTTAGTTGGGATTACAAAATAAATAAAGATAGGCTACTAAACAATGAAATGTTTACAATTAATTAAAAACAGAAATAAGAAAATCAATCATTCAATTTCTAAAATTGGCTTGGGGGTAAAATTCCGGGGGGTAAAAATCCGGGGGTAAAATTCCGGGGGTAAAAATCCGGCCCGTACATCTTCAGTTGTCTAAACGCTAGTTATATGGACAGGGGGTAATTAAAATTCCGGTTTTCATCGCTAATCTAATTAATCACGCTCTGACTATTTTCATTAGACTTCCAAATCCGCGGGGGTAAAATTCCGGCCGCGAACAAACTTTTGGCCGCTCAGGTTACTACGTCATAGTGACGTCCGCTTTGCCCAGGGGGTAAAATTCCAGGGGGATAAAATTCCGGCGATCCGAGATACTGTATTGTAAAATGTTGTAGTTTGCTTGTTTATGAATATATTTGTATCAAACTTGGCAAATTTATTTATTGTATACTAAGCTATTAATATTTTAAACCACACTTTATTAGTTTCCTTGGGGCAGCAAACCTAGGTACTCGTTAAACCTAATTTTATTTTAAAAATAGATTTAATTGTAAATAAAAATTATGACAAATGGAAATTCGCAAAGGATAAGTTGGCAGGTTTGCTGCGGCGCGGGTATTTAGAATTTATAATCGTTTTTATGGACAACCTAATGCGGCTATGAGTGGGAAAAATTTTAGAAAATACAAAAAACAAAGCTTTTGAAAAATGATAAGATATTTAAAAAAAATTTTGATTATATCAAACTGTTATATACATCGTGAGTATTATTGTATTATATGTTTGAGACGACTATTTTAAAGACATCGGAAATTATGACTGTTATTCGTTTTAAAATAACTCCTGTAATACTTCTCAATTGCTCGAATTCGAGCAACAGGTAGACTAGTAAAGTATTAAAGTGTAGTATTAAAAAGTTGAGAGTTAGGACATTCTATTTTAACGAAGAATGTCCTACCTTGCAGGTCCATAAGCTTTCGGAACTGAAATAATGGTCGGTTTATTGGATGACTCGAACCAACGTTTCTACACGTTTTCTACTATGCATAGGCTATGCAGGCTGCATAGATTCTCCGATTGAATAGTTTGTTGTGAGCATTCACACATACTTGCCTACATTTAACAGTAGGGCCTACGTGTGATTTGCGGTATGTAGTATGTAGTGAAGTCTCGGCCAATTCATAAATATCACCAGCGCAGATTATTGCAATGTTCATTGAGGGATCTCATGCGTGAACAAACCTGGGAAGTATGCATTTAGTATACTCTTGAGGGACGCGAGCAAATTTCACTTGGTCAGGAATACACCTTCCAAATTGAGAAAACATTAGCTAGAAAGGTGTGTCTATTTGCAAGGAAAACTTACAGGAGTAGTTAAAGGATAAATAGCTTGTAAGTAACTTGACAAAGTATAAACCGTACGACAAAGTAAGTAAATACAGCAATTAGCAGCTTTCTGTACCGTTGCAATTTCATTGAAAAGTATTAAAGTAAACAGTGCAAGGAAGGCAACTTTGTCGGGTGACTGAAGGAAAACAAATATAGCTCTTTATATCACTTCACAATTGAACAAGAATGGAACAGAGAATAGTTCTAAGTTGTGGCAGGACCATAATCCGAGCTCCTCTCCGTTGTCCTTCATTCTCATCTTTTGTCTTTTCCCATTGTCTTTAGTCACAAAAAGTACAGAACGATATAGCCAAGTATGAATGGACCAGGCTGTAGCTTCGACCTTCAACAAATGACTTCGCATGCCATAGCCTTTGACGTAACAATCAATCTGCGATATAACTTATTGTTGAAGCCAGAGTGAGGTAAGATGGGGTTAGCTCATTTTAAACGCATCGGATTAGGTTTGGGATATGGATGTGTTTAATCTATGGTAAAGGCATAGGAAGTATTATTTTTGTATTAATTATTAACTAAACGTTAAAAAATGTTATTTAAAATAACCCAATCCAACCTAACCTTGAAGTATGTGCGCCTTTTAGCAGCAAGCCTTAGTATACTCAATGGGCCAATCAATTCGATTTTATGTGCTAAGTGAGGATATATCTTCTCTTCTTCCCCACATACCTAACTAAACAAAAGTTAAGTTTTAAGTTACGGTATTCATAACATTTCCAATTTAAGTGGTGTATTCTGCGAGGCGTAAATATGATTTACTCGTAGGGCTGGTCCAGCCCACAGCCAATGCTTCGAGTTACACCTCAAATAAGAGGTAGCTTTATTCCACTTAATTTAAGACAGGTATTGTGCGTTGGTTTTTAATTTGAATCAAATGTAACTTAATGAATCAATAGAAAATTTATTGTTGCGGCCGACGCGAATATATAAGACATAGGCATAGGCATAGGCTACTCCCGCTGACTCCCGCTTCGAAATCGAAGTACAGATGTGGGTTTGTATTTTACTAATCATTGCTAGAAAATATTAAAGAAACTCAAACAATATTATTGCTATTTAACACGAAAGTATTTAATTTCTCACTGGACGGGAAATGTTCCCAAAAGGACACGAATACGAATACATTATAGGCCACATATAGACAGATGTATTCAAAAGCCAAATATCTAATTATTGGAAGGGGAAAGTTCATTATGAACGGTTTAATATTTTTTAGATCGGTAGATCGGTCGAAAAAATTCAAAGATAAAAATGTGTATGTAAAAAATACAAAATGGCGGATATCTGGTCAACGGAGTGATTTTGGAAAAAAACTGTTAGTCCTGATT